AGTCTTCCAGAAGAAGGACATGAAACTGTAAGAGTATCTGATGGATCTGAGCAGGTAGAAAATGCCTGAGAGGCCAATGGAAATATCAATTAGCAATTAATTCTTACAAAGAAAAGTTAAAAATCAAAATCTGGGAAATGCTCAATTCCACAACAAGCAAGTTGTACCACAGTAGCAGCAATCCCGTACCCATCAGCAATCCCAATCCTGCATCATGTGAGTGGAAAGAACCAGACGCACATCACATAGTTTATGCTTCCCTTGAAACAAAATAGCCACGATTGGTAAATCTCTAGAGACAAAAAGTAGACTGATGGTGGCCAGAGGTTTGGTGGGGGTTGAGAGAAAAGGGGTGGAAATGTTTTGAACTAGATAGAGCTAGTAGTCACACATTATGGATGTACTGAATACCATGAAATCGTTCACTAAAATGATTCATTTTATGGTGAATTTCAAAATTATATGAGTGAACCTAACCAAATCCAGTCACCAGGTTGGTTCCAACTGAAAGCCACTCTAGATAGGATTTCCAGGACTGCAAATTTTCATAGGTGTAGATAGTCTCATTTTTCTCCCACAGAACAGCTTGTGAGTTCGAACCACCCACTGTGTCTAACATCCCAACACACACTCAACAGCACCACCAGGGATGCTCTATAGTTTTATTTGATACATTTGAGTGTAGATTTATTTTCATTTTCATATTCTTAAAATGTCATGCTTCTTCTACAATATGAATCATTTCTTTAATCTCAAAAATACACCAACCAAGAATGTCATATCTATTCTGTTTTCTAAGAATCATTATCGCATTTTTTGCTCTCCAATTTCTCTGTACTGTATTCTGGGTAACTTCCTTAACTTCAGTTTCCAATTTATGAATTCTCTCTTTCTTTAATTACGTGCAATAATTACAAGCATTGACTGTTATGATGAATAATTTCCTCCTATAATCTGTACTGTTTATGAATACATCTTCAATAAAGATTTATACTGTGTTACATACATGGCAGTTTTATTATTGCTTCTACCAAGTACTCCAGAGGTCTCACCTGTCTAGAAGTAATTTTTAAATTAATTTAATTTGTTTGGATTTTCGCACTAAATGGCTTATACAAATTCACTGCAAGTCCAAATGCACTGTTGGTTAGGGATGGGTTTTCTATTTCCCAAGAGGAGCTCTTTACATACTCCATTAGTGACTGCAAGGTCAGTGGTTCAAATCCACCAACCAATCCACAAGAGAAAGATGAAGCTGTTTTCCTACAGATTTACAGCCTTGGAAATCCTATCGAGGGTTAAGAAGAATAGTAATCCACTTGATGGCAGTGTTGATTGTCATCTCTGAGTCAGTGAGCTAGTATTGTTTTTTCGGCAATTGTTACTAGTGGTCATGGAATCAGTCCCCAGCTCCTGGAAAGCCTATGTGCAATGAAACTAAATGCTGCTTGGTCCCACATCATTCCCATGATCCATTATAGCTCGGACTGCCACGATCCACAGGGTTCACTGCTGGTCTGTAGAAACAGATTGTCAGGCCTTTTGTCTTTGCTCGTCCAGTCCTTCTTTTACTGAAAGGCAGCAGCTTCCAGGGGCCCAGCTAGCTGTATCAGTCTTTGCTTCAGCTCAGACCTCTCAGGCCTACCGACTGTGACCGCAACTGTGTGTTTGTATCTCAAACCCTCCACGGGTTCATGACTCTGGCTTTAATTCTCTCTTATAGGAAGGCATTGGGGGATTCCTTTTCTTTCTTTGGATAAAAAGTAAACATTTAATGTGTTTTGTTGTTGTTATATTTTATCATTTCAATGTGTACTCAGTGGCGCAGAGGGGTGATTATATATTAATTAGTCCAGCAATGTTACTAAAACCCAAACTGTAAAATTGCCTTAGTAAAAATTAATATTTTTTAACACTCAAGCACGACATAAAATATAGTAATTATGAGTAAGTAATTATGAGAATAGCAGATTCTTCTGAATAATACAACTATGAGAATGTAGGAGAAAAGTAGCTTTAAAAAAAAAAGAAAAGTAGCTTTAATGAAATCATCGTATTACTCATTACATTATTAAAACTAATCAATTTTAAGCCATATTGGATATGGATAAAAGATAGTATTTTGAAAGTATTCTTCATAGTTTAAACTTTAGCTTTCTACTGATTTGATTATAACAAATTTTTTAGAACTTTTCAATCCTTCACTTACTAAATATAATTGTCATCAAAATCGGCATTATCCATTACACTTGGTGCCTGCAAGTATAAATAAAGCCTCAACAAATCAAAGAGCACTGGCTACACCAGTGGTTCTGAGTGTGGTACCAGGACCAGCACTATCAGTGGCACCTAGGAAATTGCCAGAAGGTAAATACCCAGGCTTCAACCAGACTGCAAGTCTGGGGATAGGACAAGACAAGCTTTCCCGGCGATTCTGCTGCACACTCAAGTTTGACTCTGTAGACTACTGGCTCCCAAACCACGCTCCATAAACTCCTTTGACAGGGTATGTCAGCACCCAGGAGAGGTCAGCGGGGCTGTGTAGGCACTCACTGTGGGGTAGAAGTAGAAGTGCACAACCCTAAGAGTGAGCATCTCCCAAATTAATTGCTGTGCAATTAATAATTAAATGACTTAATTGAAATGTCACCTAGTTTTCTTACCCCTTGGATAGAAACCAACCGAAATGCTTAAAAAGATGCGTACAAGAAAAGATCAAAGAAGAAACTAGCCTGAGTAGCTCTAAAACTGCATCACCAGACGCTGAATAATTACTACTTCTTACTCCAAGTAATACAGTGTGCCATGAAGATCATGAGACACTAATAACATTATCTCTGACAGATTCAGAATCATTGTGGGGCTTTCTTTGACACATGTCATTCTTCTGACACTAAATCGTAACACATTTGTGATAATACGTTTCTCCAGTAGCTACTGTGCCTGGATTGGACTCTGTGTTTTCCAGTGTGATCTTTGAAGCCCTGAGTTCTGGGGAGTAACCTCTGGCTTCTTGTAAGGGTGGTTACAACCTCAGCCCCGCTTCAACCAAAGCCCCTACACAGATTTAAACCCAGTACTCTTTGTATTAACAGCCCACTTAAAGCCAGGCTTCTCTTGTTAGGGAAAACATCATAACCTTGCCACTATTTAAACTTAATTTTAGAACCTTGGATCTTACACCAAAAATCTGCAAGGAATATCATGTATTATTAGCAGCATAAGTAGGGAAGATATTGTCTGGCCTGAAATATCAGAATTTATTTCAGTTGTGATAGAAAAACGACAGACCATGACATATGAGTAGTGGCTATAAACCAGCGGTTCTCAACCTGTGGGTCGCGACCCCTTTGAGGGTCGAATGACCCTTTCACAGGGGTCGCCTGATTCATAACAGTAGCAAAATTACAGTTATGAAGTAGTGGGGGGGATCACCACAACATGAGGAACTGTATTAAAGGGTCACAGCATTAGGAAGGTTGAGCACTACTGCTTTCAACCTTTTAAAAAGTTTTCTTAAATACAACATTAGGGAAAAGTCCAAAAAATAAAAACCAAGCAACACTCATCTCATTTAAAAATATACGACAGGATAGTTTGCTTCTCCCTACTAGTCTGCTTGAATTTGCTCCCTAAAATACCACCCCGTCAGACTCAAACACAGAGCAGCCCTTACAGGGGAGCAAGAAGAAGAAAACAGAGAAACCAGCAAAAGAGTGGTGAATAGGTAGAGCCAGAGTATTAAAATAACTTTACTAATATTTAAAAATGGTTATGTTTTAAGTATCCATTATGTAAAAAATTATATTCATTGAAAGAAAAATAAAGAGAATGAAGAACATAAACTAAACTTTTCAAAACACATGCTGGTTAAGTAATCAGTTGCTTCTTTTTCCCAAGGACTCAACAGTTAACAAGAATGACATGGTTAACTAAGAAAAATTCAAGGCCGTGAAAAACCCTATTACTACTTATCAGAACAAAAGAATTTCCTTCTCGAATGAGATCGACAACAACCACCGCAACCCCGACTCTCGTGTGAGATATCAAGTTTGTTCAAAGAACAATGTTTGGCATGTTTCCCGTGTAGTCTTTGACTTCACGAAACTTACCCAGCTAAAAAATATGCTACAATAGGAAAAATTTAGGTTGTCTAATTGAAGGGACAATACAATGAAATATTTCACCAAGCACACCAAAATTGCAAACATTTGATTTCCTCTACTCAGTTATATCCTAACTTTTCTCTACACTGATCACACTTCACATATTTTACTTAAAATGCGAACAGCATTGTTCTAACTCTTCTAATGTACCAGAGGGAAAGTCCATTGCACAACCATGATTTGAAATAGGAAACCGTTTTTAAAAAGAATATTTAAAGTAAATGACTTCAGTCTAAACTTCAGTTCTGTTAAAAATGCACCGCTGAGGGTTGCCACCAAACCAACAGGATATTCTTGACAGACTGCTCTTTGTAGATACATAATTAAAGATACATAACTGGCCTTAGAAACGCTACCTGCAGCATTTTAAGGACCCCCCAAAATGTATAAAAAATATTTAGAGCTTCTCCTTGATGTCATTTCAATTAAGCACAGAGAACAAAGATAATGTTATTGACCTTTGCAGTCACCAGCATTTCAAAGATGTGTTCCAATTTTAATGACAAAAATGTAACATTGTGGCTTTTATAATAAAACAAACAAAGCATATATACATAGCTATATTCCTGAGTAGCTTTACATTTTAAAAAACTCAGAATCCAAAATATTCATTTCAAAGACATTTTCTAAATTGTTGTACTCTCAAGACACGGTGCTATTTTTCCTTGTAACTACAAGAAAATGCAGAATCATCTTTCATAATAAGTGCAATAGATAACAATTTAAAAATAAGCTTATACTTAGGACATACTTTTTGAGACACATGACAAAATCCAGTTATAACACATAAGAAATAGAGCTATAAAATTCAAAGAAATAATAAGTTGCACTTACATCCATAGCTCTCTTAATAAAAGGGATCTGTGTGCCACTGTCCAGATCTTCATTTATAATAAGCCTTCTAGCCCACTGCCCTGCCCTGACGACACCACTCCCATGAATTAAAACCATCAGTTTCTGTGGATTGGTCAAGGCGTCCTCACTCATAAAGATAAAACTCTTTGGTTCACTCTCAGTAGCATCTACCTGTAATGAAAATAAATAAAAATAAAAAAGAAATAAATGGTAACTATTTTGTGATCAAGCACAGGCATAAATGATAAAATGAGTAATGGCTATTACAAATTACAGGATGGTTGTTATAAAATTACAGTTAAAAACATTAATATGGCATTAATATATTCTTAGAAGTTAACAACTGCCAATTGGGTAGATAAGCACACACAAAAAATCTGGCAATAATTGAATTATGAAAATGTGGGGAAAATGGCAACAAATGTACAAATGTGCTTGACACAATGGATGTATGTATGGATTGTGATAAGAGTTGTATGAGCCTCCAGTAAAATGATTTTAAAAATAAATAAATAAAAATGTGAAAAGTAATATTTGAATTATATGCCTCTCTATTCTTATTATATATTTGATGTTACATTCAAATTATGTATAGGATAAATATATAACTAATTTTTAAGTGCTTCTTATGAGTTATATACTATGTTAGAGAATGCTTTGAATTATCTTTAATCACACTAGCACCCTTAGAGCAGGTGTAACTATGATAATCCTTTTACAGTTTTAAAAAGTGAAGCCTGGAGAATTTAGTAATTTGGCCAAGGACACACAGCTGTGAAGTCTGCAGTTCCATTAGAGAAGTACATCATACCTACGACGGAAAACCAACTGGAAGATATGTCTGTTGGAAAATATTAGTAAACTTTTAAAAGCTGGGAGGAAGTTGTATTTAAAAATTCCACACTTATCTACTCTTCGATGCTAATAAAAACAGTTTACATAACCGCTGATTTACAAGCAACAGTATCCATGTACACCAATAACCATATTTTACATACTACTTATTTAAAGAATGAAAAATAAATGGCTTTGTCCAATGTGTTGCTCCTTATATGTAGGTTCGTCATTGGATGATGTGTGAAAGAGCCACGGATGTTTAGGCAGAATCACTTCCCGCGTTTGCTTATAGATGCCGCGGGCCACGCTGAGTGGTCTTCAGCATCAGCAGTGCCCAGGGACTGGCAACGGAAGCCTCTGGGTCAGAGCAAGAAGCTGAAGCGCCAAGATAGCGGGTATGCACATCCTCCGCTCACCTCCCTAGTGCCCTTCTTCCCACCAGGTCATCCCACATGCTACGTAATGCAGTAGCTTCCATTTCACTCACGATATATGTTCATAAAAGAGGTGCCCTGGTGGCACAATGGGTTATGTGTTGGGCTGCTAACTGCAAGGCCAGCAGTTTGAAACTAGCTGCTGCTGCTGCGTGTGGGCTGGGGGTGGCGCTTTCTACTCCAGAAAAGAGTTACAGTAGGGCAATTCTGTCCTGTCCAATGGGTTGCTATGAGTCAGAATTTACTCAATGACGGGGGTGGAGTGGGGGTGAGGGCCGTTTGAGTTTATATATTCACAAAATTATCAAAATAAATGCGTGAAAACTCCAGCTACCAAACAGTGCCCCGGATTCCGTATGTTCCCAGTCACTATGGCTGGAAGAGACAAGAAATAAAACGTCTCTATTGGTTTCAGGAGTAGCTGCTCGGCCACTGGTGTGAACAAGGGCAGCGGCCACAGCTTCCGCAGGAATGGCCGGGCCGCAGAGCTGCCAAAAGGACGAGCGCGTTCTCAGAGGTGCCTTTCCTGGGCACCCCACTTAAAACCGCAGGCCCCGCTCACGGAAGTCCCGAATTTCGGTCCCAGGTTTATTTTTCTCTGTAGCACATATCACCATATTGTATGTTTTGACTTCATTTGGTTCTAAATCTGTTTACTGTATTCACCACCTGCTCCCACCATTCACATAGGTGCAGGAAAGACAGGAAGTCGCCTGTTTTGTACCTGGCTACATCGCTTGCACCCAGAACACTGCCGCCTGAGCCTTGTAGGCAAGTCTTAAGTGAAGGGCTAAATGAGCCTGGGGGAGAAGGAATCCTACTTAGCGAGCGTCTTCAGTGACACCCTTCGGACAGAAGGCACTTAATTACGTAAGACATCCTGTTAGTGGTTAGAATACTTGCGGGGCTCAAAAAGTCTATGCAGAAGAGGAAAGCCGTGCATACTCCCAGTTGTTTAAAAGTATTACACAATGCTCAGAATGAAAGTGATGTGACTGTAACTTTATTAGGATAATACAGGTGGAATGGTATCAAGCATCACACAATCACTTCAGTTTCTGTTGATCATGGTGCCCAGGGCAAGAAATTTATGACAAGGAGCCTGGCTGAAGTCAAAGAGAAAAAGAAATGGATGAGAGACGGGAAAACCTGTGAATAAAAATCTCCTTTTGTATTGAGGAACATTAAAGGGGTGAAAAAAGAAAATGGTGGTAAGAACAAAGGGAAAAGATTAAAAAGCAAATCTGTCAAGGTCAATAAGAGAGAGGCCATGGAAGTTTACAGTCTCGGACAATTACCAAAGACATATAAACATGCACAAACAAAAGCAACTCTTCCAGGCAATGAGACCAGGCTTAGTGAATCCTGTCATGCTTATGAAAATTTAAAATGTATTATCTTAATGAAAATCACCTGTCGCGATACACTTTTGACCAGGTTCTGCTCAGTGCTTTTCTATTTGACTCAGGCTGTTGTCACCAAACACATTTTTTTAAGCAGAGGAATATTGCCACATAGAAGTCCAGCGTAATCACTTAAAAATGAAATAATTATCTTCAGAAGATTAAAAAAATTTATAATCCTGCTCAAGAATTTTTAAAGCGGTTACAAATTAGGGTACCTAGGAGTGAGATTTACAGAGTCAGAAATCCTATACAGGGTCACTAAGCGTCTGATTCAATGTGATGGCAGAGGGTTTGGGTTAATGAATAAAAGAATAAAAGTACTACTTGAGCATCCGAAAAAGTTGGCTTTGAAAATGAAAGGCCACCAACACATTAAAAAGAGAGAGAATGAACCCCACCATAATAGCAATGGTTATGGGTTAATTTTTACCTCGGTGTTACACAAAACACTGATCCTGCACTGTGACGTTGGAACTTAGAATAAATTTAATGCTAATTTTAAATAGTAAAATGTCTATATGAATGAACTATTTTTCTTCATTAACCCAATTTAGTTGGGAAAATGTTGGTTCAAGTATAATGAAATAGTGGCAATTCATTAAACTGAGCTTTCACTAAGGACTGCACATGGAGGTCATTCCAGTACACAATCGAACTTCAATGCGAAATCAACTTCAAATGCCATTTGGTCTGTGTGAATGCACAAAACCGTTTTATCACCAATTATTCAGTTAGGCTATTCAAGAACCTTAGGATGAATCATAAATTGTGATATTTCATCTAAACACTATACAACACACCTCGTGGAATATTGTAATCAAGTTATTGTGTTAATTCATTGTATTCTATACACAACTGTGAGATGTTACAACTGAGAGTATCTGGGACATAACATAGGTGGCATGTGGGATGTACTCATCCCTAATACCTTCAGGAAATTGGTTCTAGGACCTCCCCCCAAATCCATGGATGCTCAAGTATCTTTATATAATGGTATACTTAGTATTTACCCACAACCCACACACGTTTCTATATACTTTAAATCATTTTTAGATTATTTCTAATGCCATCAAAATGTTAGGTATCACTTTATATTCCCTCTTAGTCTTTGAGAAATAGCTTTGATCAGTTAATTGCAAATACCGCCCCCCCCTCCCAGTATATATACTTTTTTTCACCCTGTGGTTGGTTGAACCCACAGATGAAGAACCCACGGCTACAGAGGGCAGGCTACAAATGCAAAACACGGTCATCATGATCTTCACCATAAAATGATGGCTCCACACAGTGCTGGCATTACAATAATAATCATCATCGGTAAAAAATATCTATCCTTGGTGGAGGTGGTCTTTTAGCAAATACAAACGAGTTAGCATTTCCTCACTAAGGAGAAGGAATCTGAACATCCATCAGAAGAAACAAGATGCCTGGTATAAGCACACCAAAATCACCCTCACTGGTAACTGTCAGTTTAAAAGGACTAAGGAAAAAGTATCAGCTATTGGGTAAACACTAACAAGAAAAACTGCTACAAGAGAAATATTAATTATCTAGAATGAAATTTATTATTTTAAATTTAGAAAAAAATCCTTATTAACCAAAACCACATAAATTCTTATTTTAGGCCTGCTGCACAAGACCGCTTCTAAGTGTTGAAAAGCAAGGATGTTACTTTGAGGTCTAAGGTGCACCCGACACAAGCAGTGATATTTTCAGTCATCTCCTATGTATGTGAAAGTTGGACACTGAATAAGGCTGAATAAGAACTGATCCATTTGAATCATGGTGCTGGTGAATATTGAAAAGTACCATGGATGACCAAAGGAACAAACAAATCTGCCTGAGAAGAAGTAGTCAAAATGCTCTTTAAAAGCAAGAACAGGCAGACTTTGTCTCACGTATTTTGGACATGCTGTCAGGAGAGATCAGTCCGGAGGACATCATGCTTGGTAAAGCAGAGGGACAGTGAAGAGAAGACGACCTTGGACACGATGGACTGATACAGTGGCTGCGACAATGCCTTCAAACATAAGCCCAACTGCGAGGACGGCACAGGAGCGTGCAGTGTTATACACAGGGTCCGATTCGTTGGAACTAGCCAGATTGCACCGAACAACAACACACAGTAACAAGTCTTCTTAGCTTTATAGTCTAAATTTAAAACTAATGAAAAACAGTCATACCAATTAAGCAAAATATTTCTAACTCTAATCTCAAGTGCTTGAATGAATGAAACATAATCATGTGAAGATCTATGTGGCCAAATATCTTAAGATTTGTTCCAGAAGTCTAGAGAATTGAAGCAAGTTTACGAAGCACTGTAGAGTTAAAGGACTCGCTGCTTTAAAAAGTAGCAATGATTTAATAGAAATTTCTTTAAATGTCATTCCTATGGGTTTCAAAAATAAGTAAATAAAATCAACAAGAAAGAATGACTGGACAAAATGAAAATCCTGTAGGATGACTTTCCAAAACACCAATTTCAAGATAACAGTTGAAACAGAGCGACACCAGACCAGTGAAAACTAAAACAAAGAGTTGGAATCTAAAAAGGACTTGCATATTCACTCCTACAAAAAGCTTTAAAATCATGTTTGTCATGTATTTCTAAATGTTAAAAAGTTCCAGATATGCCAAGGGTTGGACTAGCTATTACATAGAAAGTGATAGTATATATTATTATAGCAAAAAACATGTTGAACAATTTGAGACATATACCCCTCAAAAAAAAACAAACTCAATGCCACGAAGTCCATTCCAACTCATAGTGACCCGATGTAAAATTTATGAGGCCAGGAATCTTTACTGGAGCAGATAAGCTCAACGTTCTCCCAAAGAGCAGTGGGTGGGTTTGAACCTACACCTTTATGGTTAGTAGTCCAATTTGTACCTGACAGCTCCACCAGGGCTCCTGTAGCTATTCTAAGACCAAGAGCAAGTTTCAGAGTCTCTTCTGAAATCCATTTTAATCTTTTCTTTCTTTCCTGTCTTTTTAGTAACCTTTCGTTTTTCTATATATGACCTTGTTGATGCCATCCCACAGTTTACCAAGTCCTCTGTTATTAGGGTTCAGGGAGTCAAATATATTCTTGAGATAGTCTCTAAATTCAAGTGCAATATACTGAAGATCATATTTTGGCTCTTATAGACTTGCTTTAATTTTCAACATCAACCTGAATTTACTTTTGACAACTGATGGTCTGTTCCACAGCCAGCCCCTGGCCTTGTTTTGGCTAATAATACTGAGCTTCTCCATCGTCTCTTGCCACAGATGTAGTCAATTTGATTCCTGTGTGTTCCATCTATTCTAGAATCACCTTTGGAGTTGCTGGAAAAAGGTACTTGCCAAGAAGAATTCGTAGGTCTTGCAAAATTCTCTTACGATCTCCAGCTTTCTTTCAATAACCAAGGTAGTATTTTCCAACTACTGCTCCTCTGTTTCCAACTTTTGCTTTTCAATCACCAATAATTATGAAGGTACTTTAATTACATGTTTGATCAATTTCAGACTAAAGACGTTGCTAAAGTTCTTCCATTTCTTCATCATTAGTTAAAGCGGTTAGTGCAGAAATTTGAATAGTAGTTGTACTGAGTGGATTTCTTTGTATGCCTTTAGAGAATATCCTATCACAGACAGCATTGTTTCAAGATAGATATTTAAATATCCTCTTAAAAATGGAACACCATTCCTCTTGAATAGTAAGCCATATGTCATTCTGATTCACAATGGCCAACAGCAGTCCTTTTCAGCTCACTAATGCCTAGAATACTGATCTTACTATGTGTCTTTCATTTTTGATGACTTCTAATTTTCCTAGATTCATACTTGGTACATTCCAAGTTAAAATTATTATTAGATGTTTAAAGCCGTTTCTTCTCATTTTCAGTTGTGCCCCTTCAGTCAATGGAGGGCCTGCAAGCTTCACTCCATCCATGTCATTACGAGTGAGTCTACTTTGAGATGGTGGCTCTTCCTCACTCATATTGTGAGTCCTTCTGAACTGATGGCACGATCTTTGACGACGTTCTGCTGCTGTTCATAAGTTTTCACTGGCTAATTCCTCTGAGGTTCACAGCTAATTCCTTCTTTTTATTTTGTTCTCAGTCGGGAAGCTCTGCTGAAGCTTGTTCACGCTGGGTGTCACTACTGGTATTTGACAAAGTTCTAGCATCACAGCAACACGCAAGCCAGCAGTATGACAAAATGACAAGTCAAAGGGTTACCTATAGAAACCTAAATCTGAAGGGGATCTTAGAAAATTAAACTATGGGGACCCTGAAAAAGGATTATACCTCCAGTGAGTCCTTTCTGACCATCGTCCAGGGGTGTGAAGAGCCTTGCTATCAGACAGAGAGCATTATCAAATTGATCATGGCAAATTAAAAATGTAACACCTTACCATTTATCTCCCCTTTGACCCATTTTAAACTTGTTTCCTATTTGCTGCTTTCTTTTTGATTGAGGTTTTTTTCTGTCTTATTTTCTTGTTTTGGTTTTGTATGATTTTCTGGATAAGAAATCCAGAATAGGTATATTTATAGAGATAGTAACTTAATTAATAGTTACCTAGGGCATGGCAGGGGAGGTGAGGGGTAGATGGGGAGCTAACAACCACAACTAAGAGAAAGAATCACCTTCTATTAAACTGATTGTGGTAATGATCGCACAGCTCTGCTTAATATCATGGAGCTAGTGAATTGCATGATATGTGTATTACATGCCAATAAAATGATTTTTAAAATCCTAAAATTAATTATAATAAAATATTATCCAAAGAGTTTTAAAACCTTTTTCCCATATCTAAGGCAAACAAAAGTATCTACATGCAAAGTTGTATGCAGTCAAGAAATACTTTCATTAAGTTTTCTAGATTCTTACAACATCAGAAAATTTTTGAGGACAGTACAGACAATCCAATTTAGTCCCATCACCATCATTTTACACAGATTACTATTTCTACATGTGGAAACTTGAAACTCATGCTTCACATTGAAAACAGAAAACCATGAAAATTCTGAGGAAAAAAACTAAACCTTTTCGTTCTAAAATGGCAAACTATACAAATTTTTTAAAAATCTGCTAATGTGTTATGAAACAGCAAGCACAGGAATAAATCTGAAGATACATACAGGAAATAAAGAGATACATTAATAGCAAGAAAAAAAATGAAGAAATTATAAAGATTGTGAAGTTGTCTCTCTCTAAGACAATTAAAAAATACATTTGTTTTCCTCAAATAAATAAGTAAAAATAAATTATACTATTAAAATGAATGTATCGTGATTACATTCCCATACAAGAGTAAGGGAAATGATATTTTTTAAAGGGATCATCATTTTCAAAAAGGATTGATCATCAATATTTCTCTATTGCTCCAGCCATTTAGAAATATCTTTATTAAAATTGACATGCTAGAACTTTACATTTAAAGTGTTTACAGTTAACCTAAAACAAAAAATGTTCTTCTGAATTGAAAACTATTTCACATGGAAAAATAAACATCTTGAAAAGCCTGACTTACTGGAATAGAGATCTTCTTTAAATTACAGTCCTTTTCCAGGAGCTCATACACATACTTTGTGATGATCTAGATGGGAAACAAAATAACACAGTAAGATTCAATATCTTCGACTGCTAATATTCATGCAAATTAGTTTTCTGAGTGAGCATGTCTCTACCTTATAATGTCTTGAATACTAAATTAAGACCTTCTTTACTGATTACCTGTAATTGCTTACCTGCTACCTACCTATTGCCATCAAGTTGATTCTAACTCATAGCAGAATCATATACCCATATATGATTCTTTTACCCATAGATCTCAAATGGGATTGTATTATTGGCTGCAACAATCCATGGTCTCAAGCATCCCAGTGGTTGTGGCACAAGACCAGGCAGTGTTTCGCTGTGTTGGGCATAGAGTTGATGTGATTCAGAACCCACTCAGAGGCACCTAACAACAACTAAGGATTAGAACCAATTAATATAAACTCACAAAATTGCACAATACTCCAAAAGTACATGAGTATTTAGAAAATTTCATGGAAAGATTTTCCACTATCTTTTAATTCCTTTTTTCCATGAACTGTGGAAGTACCCTCATCTTTTCTTTTTCCGTCTTCCTAGAATCTCTTTCTCCTGTGGTTTCCCTATAGGTATTATGTCCACTCTAGAACTATAGTTGGTCTCGGTATTAGGTGCCTAGGTTGATATTTGGGTTGGCTTATGCTCAAGTATATCCAGTTTGTCTATGTCCTAAACCCCACATCCTGTAATACTCAGATGATACTTTCAATGGTAAAGGGAACTTGACAAATGAGATTGCAGTTAAAGACTGATATGGCAAGATTATCCTGGATTATTCACCTGGGCCCAATCTAATCACACTTAGAAGGGAAAGACAATAGAACAAAAACATGCCAAAGAGATGAAACATGAGGAGCACTTGACTGACTAGAAGTGGGGATCGGTTTTACAGATGGAAGAGCCCTAAGTTTAGACTTCTAATAGGGGAAGGAAGCCCGTGGTTCTACAAACTGCAAGTATCTGAAGTCTTCCAATTACCAAAATAAGCAATAAATTATCCCCTAGGGCCTTCATAAGAAACCAGAGACATGTACACCTTGATTTTATTCCAGTGAGATTGATTCTAGACTTCTGGGCTACAGAACTAGAAAATAATACTTTTCTATTGGCTTAAGTCACTATGTTTATCGTGATTTCTTCCAGCAACAATATTAAAATGAATACATTGTTTCTACTAAAGAAAGTAAAAGAGGTAAGGAAAGAGGTGTTTGAAATAAAAGTAATCATTTAATAAACTTTAATGGCCACTTCAAAAAGTGTTTCTTCACCCAAATGTCTTCAATTATCTGAGCACAAATGGCAATGCTTTTGGCAACCCCATAACTAAAAATAAAATAGCACGACACAAAATCAGAATATTTCTGTAAAGAAAACCAAGATGTTAATTGCCTTACTACTGTATTCAATAATCTACAATAGAGTCTCCAGTCTACTTTCCCAGAGGAGTCCAAAATGTTTCTGTCTATATGAATTCACTTCATTTTTGAAGCAATATGTTAGGCGTTTGCGTGAAAAGTTTGATCTTGCCATAGTAATTCCAAAATATAAGCTACTACAGCAGAACTAGGTAATCTGCTGATGCTTATTAATCTAATAGTAGTCCTAGACTTTCACATAGCATTAAAATTATGTTATACTTTTACCCAAAGGTAGTGGTAGTAAACTAAAAAATGTAGACTATGCCTGAAAATACATATGAAGTTATATGATGCCTAACACTTTAGGAGAAATAGCTTAATTAAGTCAGCTTAGATGAAATGAGTTGTTTAACATTTCTGATAATTTCCTACTATCAACAAATATGACAAAATATGCTTACATTTAAAGCGATAACAAAATTAAACTGAACTCAAACCCAAATTAATCCTACCACTTTGCAAAATACATGAGACATAAATACACCATTTAAAAATTACACTATTTTGACAATTCATTCCTTATCAATCTTAATATATTATGGTTAATCCTTAATTTCATAAAACAGGATAATTTTAAATAATAAGCAACTAAAACCTACTTATATTTGGCTTTAAAGCATATAACAGAAAATCTATTCTGGAAATTCACAAATATCAAACCAGATTTAAATAATAAAACAACAAAGATCTCAGCAAGTTCGCTGAAGAACTAGCCCGATTTGCCTTGCTCTCCAATCCATGACAGCAGAAGAGAAGCAGCACCCTCCACCGCTGCAGCCGTTCTTCCTGCCTGGGATGTTTCTCCTCAACAGATAAACCCCATGTCACTGGTGCTGGGCAACCGGCGGTGACCCACCACCACCCTCCAAGGAAGGTCGGAGTCTCTCCCCTCCGCGCTCCTCCGGACCTGACCCAGTAGCACACACGTGTGGCAGCATTTCTGCGTCAATCACACAACTAGTCTTAGAACACATGATTTGGGTATCCTGGTTTTATTGCTTCGTGTATTGCTCACAGGATCATTCCTCGCACACTGAAGGTACTTCAAAAATGGTACATGGATTTTCCTTAATGTCCATTTTGTCCACATCTCTGAGGGAGATAAATGTTTTGGATGGCGTAAAATATTTTCTAATTGCTGGATTGAGATTGGAGAGAAAATATCGAGAAGGTTTGCCTTCTAGTTTACATAGGATTACAGTCTTCATTTAGAGAAATCAACAAATAGTTTTTTTTTTAAAGAAGAAAACTGTATCCTGTCCAAATGTCACTTGTGCTTAAATAATCACTGCAAGCCACCAGAAATCTGGCTAGAGAGCACTATCTATGTGTAAGTTTCCCATAGATAGAAAAGGCTTAAGCGATTAATTTAAACATGTTCTAAAGTTAAACCTTTATTCTAGTAAAAAACAGCAAAAAATAAATTCCTATACCTGATCATTTTCCTAGACTTCTTTTGATTCCTAAGTAGGAAAATGAATAAAATGAAATGAATTGACACCAAAGAGATCGGAAACAATTTTGAGATTATATATACATGAAATAGATGCCTTGGCTGCCAATAGAATAATGTCCTTCGAGGAATCAGAAAGACTCTGACTAGATTTTTTTCTTGCTCAAGGTTTCTTCAACTAGGGATTAAAAGAAAGTTTGAAAAGGCAAGAAGTGGCTAAATCAAAGAAATCGAACAGAATCTGATAAAAAGAAATTCTCAATGGAATATTTCCAGCAGACGGAGTAAGTTCATCCTGCTATAAATTTACTCTTGACACTTACTGAGCATGTGCGGTGTGCTTATCACGTGCCCCATTAATCGAAGCTTTACTTCTGACCCTTAATTAAGTATGAAATTAACAGATAGCCCCTCCCATTTCAAAAGCTCTGAAATTATTGTAGCAGATTATAATTTAATATGGAAATTATAACGACTTTTTATAGGTACTTCTCAGGCTACAGTCAGAAATGAAACCAGATATATGCAATAAAATTCAAAAAGAATGAAAATAAACATTTTAATTATGTATAAATTTAAAGGTCTCATTATCTTCCTTTCTTATCCTGTAGAAAATTCCTTGACTGGTTTCACACTTAATTTGACCAAACTGATATACAACAATGAACTGTTAATAAGATCAAAATTTCTATATTGAGTCCAGTAGATGAGTAAGAACTAAATGAGTAAAACATGAACTATAAGACATTTAAAAAAATTAAAGTCTTAAACTATACATAGAATAATATTTTAATTGATAGAATAAAATAAAATTAACTGCAATTAGTACAATGATGTTCTCTCAGTCTTCTGCTTAAAAATAATGTGTATCCTGTTAAATATTGGATAACACATTAAGCTGCTAGCAGTTCAAAACCACACGCCACTGCTCAGAAGACAGAGAACTCTCTACTCCGTAAAGAGTTACGGTCTTGGAAACCCATAGGAGCCATTCTACTCTGTCCTGCATTGACTCGATGGCACTGAGAGTCGAAAACAGTTTAAGTTTACATATGCACACTCTTTTGGTATTATTCATTTGCTTACAAAACCCTGGTTTAACAAACAAGCTGAAGGAAGTTGCAAAGGCATCAGTCTAATTTATCTCAAATGTAAATAAAGTTTTCTATTATTAGATTATAATATATTGGGAGTTTAAAATTTTAGAGACCAATTTTTGCTTTGAACACAATATTATATCATATGTTGTTCAGTTCCACTTGGGGTTAAAATAAAAAAGAAAACCTGTGGCTTGTAAGACACTAGTCTTACTCATTTCATCTCCAAAGAGAAAAAGTATAATTGGTAGATATTAGCTTGAAGCAATGAGTTCAATTAGCATATGTTCCCAAAGCAGTATGTTATGAACTTTCAAACAGCATTATTGTTACCTTGAGGGCTAAGTAGTTTATGATCCTCTAACAGCAGGAAAATGGTGACATTTCTCTAAGTATTAAGAGCTAATAAATGAATGAGATCTACATATGAAATTTTATAATATTCTTTCATTTTTAAACAAAATGTGATAAATTCTAATTAATATCACTTAATAGGAATAGCAAATATTGAGGTTCAAATTCTAAATATTTTAGGAGCTATTTACACTTGATATTTGAAAGGAAATATGTGTTTTTAATTAAGTGTATTTTCTACCTTACTCTGTTCTTATGTTCTAAATATTCTGTAAATCACATACCAAATTTTTGTTTTCCTACTATTTATAATTCATGCTGACAATCTTTTATCAACAAATTTGTTTAATTCAATGTTGAGTACTAAATTTGGATTTTTCTTTACATTTTTATTTTGAACCTTTTACAGTGCTTGTTCTAAGCTTCTTACTTTCCTTCTTTTACTACTATTTAATAGATTCAGTTTTCTTTACACCTGCCTTTCTGGTATGAAAATTACATATTATAATTTCATTTCTCTAATGATATCCTTAAGTTTTATCCTAAATATTTTGCATACCAAAGCCTAAAATTAAGTTAATGCTTATTTCTTCTGCTCAATAGCTCAGAGAATTTTAAACTACTATATTTCACCTATATTGTGTACCAAGACTGGAGGAAAGCGTGTTAACAGCCTGAG